CCCAAAGTCTTGGCAAATGTATCCCGTGAACTCACTGTACTAGTTATGTACAGAGTACTTAGTTACACTGAGGTGCAAACATGCATGCTTAAGGTCAGCACTGAAATTAATTGCTGTCTAAAATTGAATGGTATCATTATTAGGTTCCTTGACAGCAAATATATATGTTACAGTGTCATTTATTCTTATGTTTCTTTTCTGGTAAATCGCTCTGAAATTAACTCAAAAATTATTTGACAGTTTCTTTTTGCAATCAAATTAAAAGTATTACTTTTGGTTGTAAATATTTATGGCTGATTGACCAAAGATTAACAGTTAAAAGAAATGTACTAGAGTTTAAGTATGGAAGGGAACAATGATTAAAATTGCTTTTTTGAAATCAGGTTATAAGCAGCTGCTTGTCAGGTTTATCGAAAAAAAACGCAGAACTCTTCTCCATTGAAACACATATTAAACTGATACAAATGCTATTATAAAGGTTCCTCACAAGTAACGTCTATGTCATGTGGCAATTTTTCTTCCAAGCTATGCTTTAAAAGGATAGTAACTGGTTTTTACACTAAGATGGAGACCTACTTAGGCGTGTATTTGTCAGGAGGGAAAGATGCCCTAGAACAGCAGGGAGAAACTGATGCGATGATGCAATGCCCTTGCCCAAATTTAGCCCTGCCTCTCCCCATTTCAACGACATAGGAGTCTGTGTGGACAAAAATAGATGTAAATCACAGAAGGTGTGCCTCCTACCTCTCTGAACATTATAGGATGGATGTTATAGGGAGCTGCACTTTCTCCTTCAGCAATGGGACAGCATAGATTTTACCTGAGGCTTTACCCCTGCTTTCTCATCTGCCTTCCTTCAAAACTGCCTCTTAGTCCAGGTAGGTAGGTAGGTGGATGGATGGATGGATGGATGGATGGATGGATGGATGTTAGTGACACACACACATTTAATTTCTTCATTTTATATAGCCATACATTGATTTTTTAATCAATAAAGGAATGTTAGTTCTTTTGTTTATATTCCTGATGCCTTATTCTCTCTCTCACCTCCAGAAAAATGGGGGGAGAGGGTCAGCCTACAACAGAGGGTGAGGAAAGGTTGTATTTAAACAAATTACTGTTAGTAGTAATATGGCCAGTAGGGAAAAACTATTTCTCTTAGAAAGAACCTATACTTGACTAGAAAAGAGTAAAAATACTTTGTCACTACAAATGGATTAGAACGATCCACACATGGGTTGCCTAACTATGACTTAAACACTCTTAAATGAATAGTAGAGTCAGAGTCAGAAATGTCCAACCTGGTTTATCATAAAGTATAATGAAGATAATGATGGTTTTTAATGTTTTTTTTTTTTATTGTTGCTGTTGTAGATCTGTCAGCAGTGGATAACACAATGTTTCTGGAATTACATGGACTGGAGAGAGATTTGTCATTACATTGCCATTTGTATTTTCCTTGGCCCAGATTACCAGATATATATGTGTATATCTGTGTTCAAACATCTACAGCAAGAAATCCTTCAGCATACGCAGGCTCAGGATCTTCAAGTTTTTCTTAAAGTAATCACTTCTTTATCTTTTTGTGCGACATGGCAATCTTTCAGAGGGTTTCAGAGGCTGGTATCCATACATGATCGGGGGGAAGGCGGTGATGAAAAGTGGATGAGTTGAGGTTACCCAGTTTTTTCCTTGGGGTTTGCTCAGGAGACTAAGGGAAGCACTTTTAAATATCCTGTTTTGGGTTTACCCTACAAATGCTTCTCTTTTTTCTTCCTTAAAACTGGGAAACTGTTGCCTGATTGCTATCTTTGGCAATCAGGCCAGAAGGGGGCTTCAAAAGGCCGGGGGAAAACACAACTCTCTCTTTGTGGTTTACAAGACTTTGAAATTAGCCATTTGGAGACATCAAAAGCAAATGTTTTATAATGGTAATTTTCAGCCTGTTAATTTTTACTTACATAGTAGCTATATGCTTCCCTATTGACAAAAGGAAACATGTTAGTGCTTTACAGCAAAAAGTGTATAAGATATATCATATGGCACAGATTCCTGTTAGTTTATTCTACTAGGAATGAGCTATAGATCCAAAAGCCAAATGCTGTGAATTTGACAGACGTTGAATAAATGATCTCTTTGTGGAATTTCCAGAAGAGTTTGGCTGACCTCTGTTAGAAATAAAACATTGGGTTAGATCAATCTTTGAAATTCTGATCCAGCAAGGCGGCTTTTAGTGTTCCTAATACATTTAAACTGTGCATCAACTATGCAGAGAGAGGGTGTGGTACATTACTTTATAGAACTGACAGAATTTTTGTTACCGTATTTTTCCGACAATAAGACGCCCCCATGTACAAGACGCCCCCCACTTTTCTAG